CCCATTTCTATAATTGGGTTCCATCTCCTTTGCCTACTCATTTGTTTTAAAATTTGTAGCAGCTTATTATTATAATCACCTCTAGCCCTAGGGTATGGAGGATGGTATCTCTGGCCTCAGGTTCCTCTTCAGTTCTCCCCTCTGGCCTGGAACTGCAACCAAGAACTCCACCCTCTAGCCAACTGCTTCCCCTCCCCACTGCTTCTGCATCACTGGATGTGTGATGGTTCCTTCTTGCCCAAGGCCGCATCTCGGCAGCCCAGCTGGGCCTGGTAACCCTTTCCAGCAGAAGTTCCCTCAATCTTTCCTGGTTCAGACTCCTGACTCCCCACACTGTCCAAGAGGTGAAAATTCCTGTGGCTGGGGCAGAGGCTACCTCCCAGCTCAGCTAGCCCCAGGGTTCGCCACTTGCTATTTCAGTAGAACTAGCCTGGAGGTGTTTTACACTTCACAGGGACCAAACCTTGGTCCTGGGACTTTTCTTTGGATCTTCTCTGGTTGTCTCAGGAGGACCACTGTTCTGCCCCAACTCTTGTTTATTTTTACCACTCTATGTTTGCCCTGAGGCATTATTTTGTCTTGTTTATGGGGGAAATCTGGAGAGCTTGGAATTTTCTGACCTACTCTGCCATCTTTCCAGAATCCTCTCCTATATTCTCTTTTAAGTGGAGAGATGAATATGGGTTTATATCTGGGTTTGTATGCCTTGCCAAAAGTATTCAGATGGCTTCTGGTCATCATCACTATGACAGGATATTGAACAAGAGCAAACTTACAAAGGATATGTTAAAGAAAAGTTAATTTTAAAAGAGGTTCAAGCTAACTAAGGAAAAATACACAAACATGTGTCCATTTGACATATCAGTAAACCTTACTGATGAAGGCCCCATCCTGGGAAGGTATTTTTTCAAATCCCAATGTTCCAGAGAAAAATTTTTCAAAAAATTGTTTGTTTTAATGTTTTGGGTTGGATTTTTTTCCCTTTTTGGAATTTAGAATCAAAGTCAGAGACAACTTACCCCTTAGGAAGTCTTGCCTGGTTTTGTAACTTTCCTCTTAATTACTAGCTGCTCTCACTCACCCAAAAGAGGGCCACCAGGATGGTGCAAGCCTTGAGATCATACCAGATGAGTGACCATACCAGATGAGTGTTGATCAAAGGAACTAGGGATGTTTAGACTTGTGAAGAGAATGCTCAGGAAGAGGGCTATGATAACAACCTCTAAATATTGGCAGGGCTGTCATGTGAAAGAGGGATTAGATTTATTTTATTTGTCCCCAAAGGACAGAATTAGGAGCAATGACTCAAAATTGCAAAGAGGCAGACTTTGGCATAATGTAAAGAAAAGCTTCTTAATGTTGACTTATCCCAAAGAAGAAAAGGCTACATTGACAGGGAGTGAGCTACAGCCCATAGGAGAGCTTTAAACAAAAGCTATATGACCATTTGGGGATATTCTATGAAGGGATTCTTGCTCAGGTATGGCCTAGATTACATGAACTCCGAGGATGTTTCTAATTCTAAGACTTGACCATACTGCCACCTAACAGCCTTGCCTAATTGTCGCCAAAGAGGTCACTGCCACTAGTAGAAACACTGATGCTAGAACCTGTGTCAGTGAAACCAAATGGGGGTAGCTTGTTCTACCCCAACACCCCAAACCAGTACTCATGAAGCCTATTCCTCTCCCTTTCCCTTGCCATACTGCCTTCTCTGGCACTCTTAACTTAGATGACTACTAGAAGGCATGTGTATGAATATGCACAAAACACAGTTTATGTCATATAAGGCAGACTTATCTGTGTGACTGCTTTCTACGGCCACACAGACCAGTTTTATTCATAACTCAAACAATACCCTTCATGGAGCCTGGGAATGAATCTAAAAAGGCAACAAATCCAGATAGTAATTTCAAGGAAAAAAAAATCAACTGAACTAAAATGGTGTTAGCAATTTGAATCCTAAATATGTTTGGTTGATTTGGTATAATCTTGACATGGTTGAGAAATGTAAATTTAATTTCCTTTGACAATGCCAGTGTCACTAACACTGGAAACCTCCACAGGCCTGCTCCCACTGTAAACTCCTTGGCATTCTCCCTGCTCTCTGCAGGACTTAGAGACAGGATGTGTTGCCATCCCAGACCGGAGCTGAGTCACCATCCCACGCACAGCAATCTTACCTCCCTAAAACTGTCTCCATGAATAAAGACATACATTAGAGCAATTCTGCCAATGGGTCAGTACCTCCTCCCATATGGTCATGGAGCCCTTCCTCTCAGTTCCTTAGAGGATTAAATGATTCTGCATCTACTAAAGGGAAAAGATGACTTTTTTTGGGACAGCAAACATCACTTGACTTAATTTTTCCTTAGGAAAAATATACCCAGAAATGGCATAAATACCTTTGGAAACCAAACTTTTTGAGTGATTCCCTGGAATTCTGCATACATATGTCCCCTTTTATGTACACTTAATCATAAATATATTATCTTAATATACAAAGCATCTTTAAGAGATAGGCTGTAGGTTAAACAGTTTTACTTTATCCCCCCTAGAAGTGGAGATGAGATGACACTAATCCACGTTCTTTGGTTTGCCTGACCCCTTTGTGCCTAACAGCACAAATCTATCACGTGGTTGGTCAACACTGGAATGACTGGGAACAGAATGAAACACATGGTCTCAGCTTCATTAGCACGACACTATCAACTGAAATCACTGGTTACTCTCTGCTTGTGTAGCATACCATTAAACTCAACACTAATACAACTCTTAAGTTATCACATTAGCAAAACTAATTGCATCATTTGTCTACATTCTGGAGAATCTGCCCTTTCGTGTCCTAGCAACGTAGAGCATAATCCTGAATTCTGGAGAACGTGTCATTAAGCCACTGTATTCAGAACTCCCTCCTCCCCAACATAAGTGGCTTTATATAAATAATACGTTTCATTAAATAACACACTTAATTGGCAAATCAGAAGCAGCTTTTTCTGGCTTACAGATTACAGGGCTTCTCAAAAAACCAAATCTGTTTTCTTTTTTTTTATTTTAATATATCCCCCTGTTACATTTTAAAACAACTTTTTAACATTTGTTTAAAAGTTTTGAGTTTCAAATTCTATCCCTCCATTCTTCCCTTCCCTCCTTCCTTCCTGAGATTGTAAGCATTCAGATATAGGTTATACATGTGCAATCATGTAAGACACTTCCATATTAGTCATTTTGTACAAGAAGACTCAAATAAAAGAAAAAAGAATGAAAGGAAGAAAGTGGAAAAAATTGCATGCTTCAGTCTGTATTCAAACAATATCAATTCTTTCTCTGGAGGCGTATAGTATGCATCATCATTACTCCTGAAAGAACCAAATCTTGATCTATTTTATTAATAACACCTCACCTTGATATTGGGTATTATACTTTGCAATTCCACACACATCATCTTAGTTTTATCCCCAACAACTCTTTGGGTAGGATGACCAGATATTATTCTCATCTCTTTGCTACTGCCTTGATGGAGGCCATTTCCTCTCCTATAAGCTAGGATAGTTCTGGACCAGTTCGGGCCATCATTGAAGTACCTGGTACACATGAAATCCCTATACACATAAGGCTCAGAGAGGTTAAGAGGTTTATTTTTGCACTACACCAATGCCAGCCTGCTGCATCAAACCAGCCCTTCAAAGGACTCCTTTCCTCCTGAAGGAGCCACCATAGCTTAATGCCTAGGACCTGGTGCAACAAAAGTTCAGCTTGCCTTTTCTTGACATCCATCCCACACACCCACACGCTTGCACCCCTACAATAGCTTTTGCTGGTCTGAATCTCTCCTAGGTTCTCAGGAATGGAATGCTTTCTCACATAGCATTTGTCTGACTACCTTGGGGCCTGGAGACTGTTGAGTGGAATGTCAGACTTGAAGGAGTTTAGTTGCCATGATGTGGCTCATTCATATCTAGGGGCTTTGATGCCTGAGAGTCAGGAAGAAGAATGTGGATTCCATGCTTCCCAGAACAAAATTAATTCAATGTGTTCTTGGGGCTTCCTAGCAATGTTAGAGTAAGACAACCGTATTGCTTTGTAGGGCTTTTGTTCCACTGGAAAATCTAAAGGATAGAATCGCCTTGATCATGTCTAGTTCTCCTTTTTCTTGTGGGATAGCAGGAACATAGGGAGCAAAAAAACTGTTAAATTCATAGAGTACCACTAACACCAGTCTGGAGCATACGGATAACATGGGTAGCAAGTGATGGGGAGAAAGGTTTCCTTTTTGCAAGCCTGTCCATGAATGTGTCCCTGTTGTATTGATTCACTCTGTGTGAAAGATAGCATTTTCTTTTTTGAAAAAAAAAAAAAGATATGATGCCATACTTTTAGCAGGGTTGCTTTTAGACTCACTCTTTTCATAGTTTTCTAATGACATTTAGCGGTGAAGAGTTCTGAGTCAGCAATTTGTGTTACCAGCCAGTTAGGAATGTTTTTTTCTGAGTCTGATTCTACCCCAGAGCAATGCCCACCTTTATGTGCCAAAGCTCCTGAAAACCTGCCATGGGCAGCAGGATGGAGCAGTTCTGGGACACTGTAAAAATGCTTGCAAAGCACTTGAAAATATTTAATAAAAACAATTTTTGGATTGTAAGGTTAAAATTATGAGCAATGAAGCTCCTGTTGCAAAATATTGGAAAAACAAGAAAACTCATCTCATGCAAATGCTTTAATGCAGACAATTAAAAAATCAGCTTTTTACCCCATACAACTTAGGTAGAGTGAGGGTACTGGGGCATAGCAAATAAGATTACCAAAGCATCTACTGTCTGAAAACTGAGAGGAGTATGTAATATTCATGGTGCTGGAAGAGTCTTTGTAAAGCTCCCTACCTCAGCAAGAGCATTCAAAAAAACTAAGGCCATGTTCATTTTGGGGTATATTATGGCTTGATTTTTACTATGGAAAAGGTCTATGAAAAATTGCTTAACAGAACATAAGAACTTTCTTACCAATTTTACTTCTTACTTCATTTATACTTTCTCCTAAGGCCTTTGCTTCAGAAAATCTAGAAAAAAAACGAAGTAAACATTTTATTATTTTTTGGTCATTCTTAGTTAAGAGGTTTGAAACAACACACATAATTTGTATTAATTAATTGCATTGAACAGTACACATTTTTACTCTTTTATATAGCTCTACAATGTAACAAGTATATTTTGTGATCCTAAAATACTGTAACCTTGTGATATGATTACACTTAAAAGGGAATCCTAGGCCAGTGTTAGTAAATACAGTTTCGTCCACAGGATTTTTAGTGAATTTAGGGTTGGAGAATCCATTTTCAAGAACCTGTATAAAAACAAATCTTTTCTAGGTGAGCCTTTTTAGTCTGGTAGACTCTCAGTAGAACTCCAATCTGCAATGCCCAATACTTGGTTTTCTTCAATTTTTGTGACAAAGTGACTGAACGCATTCAGCATGTGGTCTTCAGCTTAGTCTTCCAAAATATACACGTTGGTTTTTTTATTGTGTCATTTTGTAAGTTCCTTGGGCTCTATACAGCATAAGTGTGAAGTCCCTGGGATGTTATCAGTCAATCATATGATCACAAGATTACATCTCTTAGGGCTAGGGACAATCAATATTCATGGGGCACCTTATCCCAATCAATCAATCAAAAAGGATAATCAATTAATCAGCAAATAGCTATAATGTGCCAGTCAGTATTCTAGGCCCTGGGGATACAATCATAAAAATGAAACCTTTCCTGCTCTCCAGAGTCTTACATTCTAATGGGCCATGTGACCAGCTACATGTTACATACTATGATGTATTCAGAAAAAAAGCATAGCATCCTTCCTTATCTTCAAGTTGGGAAGACTTACATACATATAAACTCCTTCAAGTCTGACATTCCACTCAAGTCTCCAGGCCCCAAGGTAGTCAGACAAATGCTATGTGAAAAAGCATTCCATTCCTGAGAACCTAGGAGAGATCCTGACCAGCAAAAGCTATTGTAGGGGTTCAAGTGTGTGAGTGTGTGGGATGGAAGTCAAGGAAAGGCAAGCTGAACTTCTGTTGGACTAGGTCCTGGGTGTTAAACTACGGTGGCTCCTTCATATACATTCCCATATATATGGGAAGACTTATATACATGAACCCCACAAGAGTAAATAAGTATGTGGCAGAGACTTTAAATGCTATGGGAGTTCTGATAGGGTAAGATAAATTAAGGAAGTCTTCATGGGGGAGGTGGGACTTGATTTGAGCAGTGAAAGATGGATAGAAGAGAAGACAGAGGAGAACATTCCAGAAAGGAGGACTGTGAATGAAAGGACACAACATGCATGTAAGTCCTGGAGACTGTATTCCTCAATGACAGAAATACTATGGGAAACATATTGTGCTTATGTGTCAAGTTGAGTCCAACTAGGTCTTTTCTTGAGGAACACACACTTTTGCTGAAGTTTGGAGCATGTCATCTGGAAGGCCCATACCATCATTAATATGTTGCTCCAATAATGAAACCAGTGGCCCTTCCGAGGGCAATGGACTTGATGCTCTCCGGGAAGAGGGAAGCGCAAAAGGTTAAGTAACTACTGGTTCTACAGTGAGAGCTGAGCAGCCTCCCCGGCCATCACATGGGAGATGCCTCTAAAGTATTATAGCAAGCCTGAAGACAGACCAGACAATGTCCACCATGACACTGCCCAGGGGACATCCTTATCTCAACTCTCATTCTGAAGTGGCCAGGATGGGAGCCTCATGGCTCCTGAGTGTGGAGCGTGCCCAACAGGGCATGAGAGGAATATGCTTAGTAGTTAACTCACTTCAAAGGGTTCTCTAGTGCCAGGTCTGGTGGAAGTTGCTAGAGGAAGCCACAAAGTCTATTTTGGGTTCTCTTCTGCAGTGCTAGCACAAAGCTAAAAAAGAGCGTGCCCACTGGAGAGGTGTGGTCTGAGACCATTTTCCCTTGTTCTTGGAGGCTGTTGTCTCTCCAGACCACTCCACCCACATGCTTCCGAACCCTGGTGGCCAGAGCAGAATCTAGGGCAAAGAGAATCCCAAAACAAGAAAGGTCTCCTTTCTCCCAAGGGTGGGAGAGAAAGGGAAGGAGAGAAAAGGGCATAATGAAGAGTAGGAGAAAGAGGAGTGTGAAAACGTGAATTGAAGGCCTCCCCTGATTGCCCCACTGCCGTCTTTCCCTCATTCTTTTACTTTTGGCTCTCAGGAAAGAGATTTTCAAAGAGGAAGGAAGGCCAAGAGAACCAAACATGTCTTAGGTGACTGGTCAGAATCTTCTGGTTGCAGACCCAGTTCTGTTATTTACTTGCTAAATGACCTCCCCTTCTCTACCCTCAGTTTCTTTTCTTACGAAATAAGATGTGTCAACTAAATGAACTAAGGTTCTGTGTTTCTCAAACAACATTAAAGGGCATTCTCTATGGCAGAAGGTAAAGCACCGAGTAACATGACTCCTGATACTCTTCAAGGCAGCCCATGAGTCAAGCTGTTGTTCAGTTATTTTTCTGGCATGTCTGACTCTTTGTGACCCCATTGAAGTGGTTTGCCATTTCCTTCTCCAGTTAATTTTACAGATGAGGAAACTGAGGCAAACAGGGTTAAGTGACTTGTCCAGGGTCACACAGCTAGTAAGTGTCTGAAGCTGGATTTGAACTCACAAAGATAAGTCTTCCTGATTCCAGGCCCAGCACTCTATTCACTACACTACACCGCCTAGATGCCCTGGAAAATCCTCCAAGTCACTACTGATTTTTTTGTTGATGAGTCGTTTCAGTTGTGTTCGACTCTTCATTGCCCCATTTTGGGGTTTTCTTGGCAAAGACACTATAGTGGTTTGCCATTTCCTTCTCTAGCTCATTTTACAGATAAGGAAACTGAGGCAAATAGGGGTAAGTGACTTGCTCGTGGTCACACAGCTAGTAAGTATCTGAGGTCAGATTTGAATTTATGAAGATGAATCTTCCTGATTCCAAACCTGGTGCTCTATCCACTGTCCCACCTAGCTACTCTATTAGTTCAGTATAGCTCTGTTTTCCTATTTCCCATGGGAGATTGTCTATCAATCTCTATTATCCATAGCTTTCCTTTAAAGTATATATTACTTTTAAAAGAGTAGTCCAACATTGTCCTACTTGTCTATGTGCCCTTCTGAACTTCTTTCTGCTCTTTTCTGTGTATTTTTAAAATGTTTCATTGTTTACTTTTAACAATTTTTGTTGTTTTGGTATCATTATCACTGATCACTATTTCCTCCACACCTCTAAAATAAAAGACTTCACTTGCAACAATAAAGTTAAACCAAATAAATCTATATATTGGCCACCTCTGAAAATGCAGGTCTCATTCTACAACCTCTATGGTCTTCTACCTCACTGCAAAGAGCTGGGAAGCATGATTCTTCATCAGTCTTTGGTATTTCACTGGTCATTGGATTAATCATAGTCTTTCTCACTTGTTTTCCTTTACATTATTATAGTCATCGAATAAATTGTTCTGTTATTGCCCACTTCACATTGAATCAGTTCATACAAGTTTTCTCAGGTTTCTCTGAAACCATATTTTTCAGCATTTCTCACAATACAACAGTATCCCAGTACATACGCCATAATTTGTTCAGCTTTTCCCCAGTTGATGGGTGCCCCCTAAGTTTCCAGTTTTTTTCCATAACAAAAAGTGCTGTTATAAACATTTTATACATGTGGGTCCTTTCCCTCTGTTTTTGTTCTTTTTGCTATTTGCCCAATGGTGGTATCACTGAATCAAAAGGTACATACAGTTTAGGTTCTTTATGGGCATAGTTCCAAATTGTTTCTCAGAAAGACTGGATCAATTCATAGCTCAGTGAACAGTGCTTGTCCTCCCATAGGCCCTCTCCAACAGTTGCCATATTTCTTTTCAGTCATTTTTGACAGCTTTCTCTTGTTATTATTTATAATAATGCTTGTGGCTGTTGTATAATAATGCATATGCTGTTGATAGCTTACTTTTCTTCTTCTGAGGACTGCCTGTTCATATCCTTTGGCCATTTACTTATTTGGTAATGGCTATTATTTTCATATTTGTATCAATTCCCTAGATAGCTTGGTAATTAGTCCTTTACCAGAGAAATTTTCTGAAATGGGTATTTTCCTCCAGTTCATTTTCTCCTTTCTAGTTATAATTTCATTGTATTTATATGGGTAAAAACTCTGCAATTTTATGGAATCAAAATTGTTCATTTTATCTTCGGTGGTCCTTTTTTCCCTTGTTTGGTCAAGAACACTTCTATTGTTAGATTCTTCCTTTATCCTCCAATTTGTTTATGATATAACCTTTTATATTTAGGTATCAATTTGGATCTCATTGTGGTATATGATGGGCAATATTAATCTCAATCTAATTTCTCCCAGACTGCTTCCCAGCTTTCCCAGAAATTTTTGTCAAATAGTGAGTCCTTAACTCAGTAGTTAAAGTCCTTCAGTTTATTAAACCCTATGCCAATGTTTAATTGCTTCTGTTCTTAATTGCTTGTTCTATGATCAACTTTTCTGTTTTCTTAACCAGTACCAAATAGTTTTGATGCTTATTATTTTTAGTATTGTTTTAGATCTTATATATAGTTCTCCTGCTTTCCTTCTTTTAAAAATTATTTTCCTTGTGATTCTTGACCTTTTGTTCTTCCAGACAAATTTTATTATTTTTTCTAGTTTTACAAAGTAACTTTTTATTAGTATGATTGGTATGGTACTAAAGCTGTCAATTACTTGAGGTAATATTGTAATTTTTATTACATTAGCAGGGTTCAATTACAAACTCTTCCATTCAACTATAATACTTTAATTATTTACCAGTGTTCTGTAGTTCCACTCATATTATTCCTGTGTGTGTGTGTTGGTAAGTGGAGTCAAAGATAATTTTATATATTCTGTAGTTATTTTGAAAGGAATTTCTTTTTCTATCTGTTCTTATTGGGATTTGTTGATAATATACAGACACTAATGCTTTTTTTTGGGAGGGTTACTTTAGATCCTAATACTTTACTGAAGTTATTAATTATTTGTA